CTAGCCGTTCAGCATTAGTTACCATGGAGATTTAGCCCACTAAGAAGTGAACCAGCGTCGTAGGACCGGAAACCCAGAGTTTACCCTGAAGTTATCCGGCTAAGCCAAAATCCTGCTTCGTAGTACAGGCCTCTGGCCTATGGTCTGAATAGATAACAATAATAATAATAATAATAAATGGAATTTCTCAACTATTGTTTCAAAGACATATTGTACAAATATTAAGGAAAAAGCTGTCAATATAATATTTCTTTCTTTGAATGTGGTACTTGTATGTTCATCGTTGATGAGAAAATGGGACAAATTGGAAAATACTATATATTTTTTAAAGTATTTCATTCAAACAAGATTAAACAAAAAAGGACTGACCATATCGTTTTATCATTAGAAAGGTTTACATATTAATATATACTGTTCTCCAAATAGATGGACTACATAATGAGTTGTATTTCTTTCCAGCTGAAAACATCGCTGAATACTTCATATTGCTCATATTTAATTCTGTGTTATTATTTTATCTGATCTCATTTGTGCCATTTGCACCATTATAAATATTTTAACTCATTTTGCTCACTTATTGGATATTTTAAGTGGTCTTAAAACGATAGATGGCTATTAAATTAACCTGACACACACACACACACACACACACACACACACACACACACACACGTTGTCGCTGTCAGCTTTAACCCACGCACTCACATGCACTGTCACACTCCAGGTGCTGATGGAGGACCGGCAGACCAACCGGCTGAGCGAGTCGCTCAACATCTTCGAGACCATCGTCAACAACCGGGTGTTCAGCAACGTCTCCATCATCCTCTTCCTCAACAAGACGGACCTGCTGGAGGAGAAGGTGAAGCAGGTGTCCATCAAAGACTACTTCCCTGAGTTCTCGGGCGAGCCCTCCAGCCTGGCAGACGTCCAGCGCTTCCTGGTGGAGTGCTTTCGTAAAAAGCGCCGTGAGAACCAACAGAAGCCGCTGTACCACCACTTCACCACAGCCATCAACACGGAGAACATCCGGCTGGTGTTCCGCGACGTCAAGGACACCATCCTGCACGACAACATCAAGCTGCTGATGTTGCAGTGAGGGGGGAGCGGGGGGAGCAGGGATAGGTGGAGGCAGAAGGAAAGCGGATGTCCTGCAGGGAGCAGGCAGCCTCTCTCCACCCGTCCGTCCTCCCTCCCTAATGTGAGCGGCTCCTCTCTCTAGAACTTTGACTGTGTATTAAACCCACCACTACTACAGCCATTCCCCCCCACACTTCTCTGCCTTACTGAGCTGCTTCACTAAGACTTATAACAGCCACCTTTGGCTCAGAGGCCCCCCCTCCCCCCCTTGAAACCACTGTAAATGACCTCCAGCCCCCGTCCACAGTGAATATGCACCCTGTATGATGTGTCCTCACTATGTGTTGCTTTAATTCACCCCACACTCCTCTCTCTGCTGCTCTGA